TTGCCTCATAATAAGCTGCGAACATGTTCAGAGGAGCCTCGGGACGGTGTCGGAAGAACGCTCACCAGACCCCATACGCCTGTGAATGCAAAGTAAAGCACGGCATACCCTTGCTCGCCAAAACGGTCCAGCTTAGTCTCCCTCCGAATGCCAAACCATTTGGCAGCGGGCCTGCATAGGTACACCGTGATGGTCTGCCGGACGAATGACCAAAAGACGATATAGTAGGCAAGGAAGGCAAGGTCCAGGTAGCCCTTCTGATAACACGGGTCATCTTCAGGGGTATCCGGTATCCGGTGCGAGATGAAGAGGAGTGGGGCGAAGGGGTTGGGCGTGTCCTTTGCAATATATGGTGCAAGGAGCTCCCAGTTGGCCCATAGTATGAACACGAGCAGGAGGATCTTCAGCGACGAGCCTTCGCGTCCGCGTTAGGGGGCTTAGCCGAACGCGAATGGAGAGATGACGCACTCGGGACGACGACCCATCGCAACGACTTGAGGTCTTGCCAGAAACCACGCGACTCGGTGGACCAGCGCACGACTGGTGACGAAGACCTGGAAGGGGTGACAGGGGAAGGAGAGGCAGGCCACTGCCCCAATGGTCTTGGAGAGAGGGTGAGCCGAGTGCGGGCAGGCGACAAGTGGGCGCTCACGTCTGCGGCCTAAAAGGCCCTGCGAGATGGTGGGCGGGGTCTGCCCTGGTAGCAACGGGTCAATTTGAATAGGACAGACAGCGCGTGAACGGTGACGGCGTACTCTATCCTGTCGATAGAGGTCTGGATGGCCTCTGGACGCTTCTTGGTGGTGCGTGGCGGAGAGCGGGCGATGGTGTGCGTGCTCGGCTGGGGCTTGGGGAGTCCTCTTATGGATGTGGGACGAGGAGGACTGCGGAGGATGCTCGATGACGGCTGCTCGTCAAACCGTCGGCGTCCCCGGTCTGCCCTGGTAGCCACGGGTCAAGACAGACAGCGCGCGAACGGTGACGTCGATAGCCTGCGATGCCCACTCCGATCGCCACGGAAAGCGTGCGCACTAGACGCCCACACCTGCTCAGGACGACTTTTGGCGGGGCGCGCGGCCTTGTCAAGCCCTGCCACCGCCATTCGCCTTCACTCGCGTCTCGATCGCCAGCCAGCGTTCCTCTGCTAGACACGCCTCTCTGCCTGTTCTCTGCACGCTGCCCGTCTGTGCCTCCGATGTGCTGCCCTCCCCTCCGTCGCTGTTGCTGTCGCCCCGGCCTGTTCTTTGGCCTCGACCTTGCTCCGTGCAGCCTGCGTCGTACGAGATAGTCCACACCGTCAGTACGTCCCGCTAGCGTGCTGTGCTCGGCCACCTCTGCTCACTCGAATGCTCCGGTGCAGATGGCGCTTCGCGTACACAACACTACGCGACCCTCAGGAACAGCACAGCCATCCTGTCCTACGCACCTCAAGCGAGAAACAGTCGGTACGCGGCCATCCCCGCTCTCTGTGCGCATACCTCCGTTCCCGGAGGCCCCCGTCTTGATGTTCTGGTTTACAAGAGCCCCTCTCGAAACACTCGGGAATCGATAGATATGCATGCCACATGCACGCCTGTGCGAGCACGAAGCCGCCGCAAGAGTCCTTCGCCCGGGGCGCTGTATACACTCCTGCAGAATTTGGGCGATTTCCCCATTGCGCAACACTTGCCATCCGTGCGCAACGTGTACCACACGGTAGAGCGCATGCTGCACTCGCGTCTGGTACGTTCTCAGCCCGGCCGCACGCGAACTGCGCTCACCACATCCCGTTTTCAGATCTGCCGCGCATCAAACCGCGAACGCCCGCACGCCGGCGTCCATTACCGCCTGCGCTCGTTGCCCAAACGCGACCTAAGCCCTGCGCAGACTCTCCGGCGCGGTTTCCCCCCGGCTGGCAGAGTGATCGCGCGAGCAGCGGCGGCGGCGACCTCTGCGCGTCTGCGTCTTCAAGACTCGTGCGTACAGGTCGTGGACCTCCGTGCCCCCCTTCCATACGTTCCCTGCACGTTCCGTGTATGCTACTGACGCCGCCGCCGCACGCACGAAGCCGCCGTCGACGTCGTTCGCCGGGGATGCCGTCCACAGGCGAGGGTCTCCCAGACTGTCCTTACGCCATCCTAGGGCCGTCTCCCCGCCGCTGGCGCGCCGGAGCGCTGCACTATTCGACGTGCGCGACCGTCAACTCGCCTCTGGTACGTTCCCAGCCCAGCCGTACGCGAACCGCGCTCACGGCGTCCCCTTTTCAGCTCACCCGATCACAGAAAATCGCGTATCGCCGGCCGGGCTCGTATCCAAGCCTCCCCGGAGCTCTACACGTTCCCGGCAAGTCACACCGTTGTGCACGAAGATACTCGCGGCGTGCAGAAGCGCAGGGCGCCCGGCTCGGCGTGCGGGATGGGCCAAGCTCGTGGACGCCCCGACACCTGCGCCTCGCATACTAGAGGGCCAAGAACTAGTCGTACGGCACGCCCGGACGTCCCTCCTCATGTGCAACGGCATCGCAGGTCTCCCTCACGTCGCATACAGGGGCGTCAGCGGTCCCGCCCGCCGCAGAAAAGCCCAAGTCGCGCTCGAACGCCTCCCCCGAGGCCGCTCAAAACACGCGTATGGCGTCCTTGCACCGGGACGCATACAGCCACCGCACCTCGGCGCGATCCAAGCAGAAAAAATCTCGTCGCCATCGTCGAATTTCACGGACGCATACGGTCGAGTGGCAACTCCTGCGCGCCGGGTACGCGTCCTGCGGCAGCGCCGCTTCGCGTGAACACGCCCGCGTACCTCCCCCATCGCCCCCCGCAACAACCAGGCCCGTACGCGCGGTGCCCCTCGCCTCACGCGCGGCACAGTCGCGTCGGAGGCCGCTCCCCGCCTCCCATTCCCGCCTCGCGCTCCGACGCCGCCGCGGAGGCCTCCCAAACGTCGACGGTGGCTCCCTCGCACCAGTTCGCGCACCCACCGCGCGTCTCGCCGCGATCCGGGAAGAAAATATTTTGGTCGCATTCGGCCATTTCATTGAGATGGCCGCGCCTGCGGACGGAATGTCGAGCCGCGCGCCGACATCGCGCCCGAATGCGCTGAGACTTTGGGGGCGGGCTCCGTGCACTGCAACGTACGTGCATGCTGTGTTTCGGCGCGATCCGAGGAGACAAAATTTGGGACGCTGACGGCCGTTTTCATGGGCAGGTGCTCAAAATGGAGAAGTGCGCGCCCCGCCCAATTGCGCCCACGCGTCCTACGGCGACGCGCCTCGGTAGCGATACTCGTGTACACGTCCTGCATCGACCCCCGCCGTGAATAAGCTCCTGCACGAGGCCGTTCGCCCCGCACAAGGTCGCGGCAGCGGGTGTGCCCCCGACAAAACGCCAAGACGCGCCTCAACGCCGCCCCCGGGCGCCTTCAACACGCGACGACGGGGTCCCTGCACCAGGACGCACACGCCCGCGGAGTCTCGGTGCGATACGAGGAGAAAAAGTTTCGTCATCGGGATGCGATTTCATGTCACTTCGAGGGCGAGCCCGGGAGAAGTGCGCGCCGCGCCCCGACTATGCGTCCTCCCGCCGCGCCATCGCGCGTGGGCCGTCCTATGACAGCTCGGCATCGTCCCGCACCGCCGCCGCGGCCGCACGCGCGGTCTCATTTTGCGACTTTGCGGCGGGGGAGGCTCGGGCGCTGGGTGGCAGGCGCGCCGCAACCGCTCCGGCGCGATCTCTGCAGTCCCGGGCGTGGCGCTGCCGTCATGCGGCGTCGCGCACGAGGCGGCCTTGCCTGCAGACGCACGGAACGGAGATGTGAGGTACGCGGTCGTCGTCCTCGACGTCGTGCGCGGCTGATCGTCGCGAGCAGGGAGACCTGCGCATGCGCCACCCCCGCCCACCCGCACGACGGTCTCTCCTGCGTGGCGGGCGGAGATGAAGCGTGCGCTGGCGCACGACTACGGCGGCCTGCGTGCAGACGAGCCGGCGTGCGAGTCCCGCGCATGTCGATGCCGCGGGAGCGTACCCGGATAGCGGCCGTGGCGGCTGGTTCACCGCGCCGTCTGATCGACTCGAAGTAGATCGACCTACCTTTGTGCACTACGCGTCGGACGGCGAGAGGGAGCTGTACATACGTGGAACTACATGTACGCTGCCTGCTGCTCCGCGAAGAGCCCCGCGGTCTTCCTATCCCTTTCCCGCGTGTGCGCCGCCAGGCCATCGATGAGGCCTCGTCCGCGGGCACCCTTGCAAAGGGCGGGCCGTCCGCGGAGACGACTTCCTGTAGTGTCTGCTACAGGAGGTCAGTTGTGCTGTAAGCACAAGTCTCAAAAGTCGGAACTCACTGCGGTCGATAGGCTGCAGATCTGAGTCCGTGGACACGGCGAGCCTGCGGATGGGCCAGGATGGATCTGCAGGTGTCGGTGAGTTATCTCGGCTGGTTCGTATACGAAACGCTGGCTCACCGTGTATATTCCCATGAGAACGGCATCCTCTGTCGTAGTCAGTGCGATCAGCCCGGCCCAGCCTCGTAGTCCAGAACTGCTCACCGTGCAGCGGTTGTCAAGACCGAAGTGTCGCGGTTTCGAGCTTCGTCTCGCGGCGACGAGGGCGCTAGCTTCGTCAAGAGAACACAGGGGAGATCCTGGAATAGGTCGGTGAATTACTTCGATGTCCTGGTATCTCATCCTGACTTACCTCTCCCACAGGCAAGCGATTGGCCTGCACCAGATGTCGCCCTGCGCGAGGGAAGAGAGCAAGAGCATGCGAGGCGGAAGGAGGGGCAGCGGGTGAGCACGCCCGCGTCGACGACGGCCTCGTACTTATCCCCGGTCTGATTTAGGGCCGCCCCGCTCGTACCGTGTCGTATCATGGTCCGTGCGGCATTCTCAACCGGGGCCAAGTCCTCCTCCGTCGCCAGGAAGCAATTGCTGACAACAATGGAGTCACGTCGACCGGAGACGGACTCCGAGCCCGCTGGACGGCACACCAACCAGACGGCGACACGAGACGGCGCGGACCCAGGGAGACGGGGTGAGCGGGAAGGGGTACGCGCGGATGCACCGCGGGAGGGAGGCACGCAGCTACGCGGCGCGGCGCGTTTCAGCGTCGGGGTCAATTTGCAGATGTGGAGCGTGTTCCGAGTCGCTTGGGACGGTGGGCGCTCGGTAGGCGAACGGCCAGGGACGAACTGTCCTCATTTCGAGTGGGGGCGGATGTCGCCACGGCAAGCGACTCACCGCCGTATCGGCGAGTGCGCTCTTTTCGCATCGTCCGATGCGGGATTCGGGGCAATGAAGGTGTCCTATCGTCGTCTCGCGCGCAGCGGGCGGCGTGGGCGGCCAACGACCGGGGCGCATAGCTGCGACGTCGAGGGAGGGACCCGCTCCTGAATTATCTGCTTGTGTGTTCCCAGGTGCGCAACGTCTACATGTAACCCCGTACGACCATAGTGCGTGTATAGCAAAGTGCGCCGAGGATGCGCTGAGGCCTCTCGCGCTCGTATCTCCCGCTGACTCTGGCAGGCTGAAGTACGACTTTGAAGTAGTGTTATATACGTACAATGTATGGGAGTATGCAGCTCCTGCGGAGCGTCGCCCACGCCCCTTTGCGGCTTTCCTGCGCGGGGAAGACAGTCAACTCGGATCAAGGTGTAGTATGCAAGACATACCGCGAACGGTACCCACGATATCGTGTAGTGAATTGCTCACTACCTTGCCTCCGTGTTTCCTCCGCGCTCGCTCGTGTCTGACGTTGTGTACACGACCAGTCAGATGCGAGCATAGTACTTCTAGCTTCACTAGATTTTTAACTGTTAAAGATTCTGCACAGACTCTGACATCGAAGGGTGAGTCTCCGACCGACTCGCATCAAGAATATATTAATCTGAGGTGCGTAAAATATACCTTACGTAGAGTGCGCAGGCGGCCCTTCTATCGTGAAACTTGCACGGAGACTCAGATTGATGCATGGCACTGAGGCCTGACCGCGGTGGGACCACATACTGGCGGCCCATTTAATGCTGCACACCCGGATTCCGCAAGAGTAAATATATTAGGTTGCCTACATAACCTTTCGCAGGGTCTGTGCACATTCCGAAAGCTACCAGTGCTCGATTCGAGTCGAAAAAGGATGTGCTAGGGCAAAAGAAGGTCAGGAAAGCACCGGCCGAGCTGAAGGCATCCTAGTACCTTCATTCCGAGGACCCGACAACCTCGCTGACAACGACTGCTGCCGCCGTGGGGTGAGGACCTATCTTGCTTAGTAGCTCTGATAGACTCGGAGCTCGGCCAGGACTCGGATGCCCCGGGCCTGCGCCCTGCAATCACCATGTGGTAAGTCGGAAGCGATGGCCGGGCCGCGCACGCAAGACACAAACAGATTCTCAGCGACAGGACAAGCGGCAGCAATAGAGATGGCGAGGGAATTAATTTGGGAGCTGATTGCGAACTACGGAAAGCTCGTGTGCAGTAATTACGGTTTTGGAATAGTGCATGCGCATCTGGGCGCGTTGTAGTCGTCTGTAGGAGCGCGAAGAGCTCGTGCTCCCAACTGCGGAGTGGCAGCAAAAGAATGTGCACCCGCTGCTGGTGCTGACGGCACTCTTGTTCTCGTCGAGCCCTTGTGCCCGTTTGTTGTAGACAGCCGTTGTGATATCTACGCAGGCTGGTCATCTTTGCGCATCATGAGCGGTGCATCACCACGTGAAACTTATAAGACGTACCAGGCGCAGAACCAAGGTGCAAGCCCAGAAGGTTCCCCGGCCCTTAGATTGGTACGGCATTTGCTGATTGACGGTGCGGTTGCGGGCGCGCGGATACAGGCAGCAGCAGGTCGTAGACAACAAGCGATGTCAAAATGTTAAACGATGATATGTGTGCGGACGATTCACGAGTACCCTCCTCAGCGTGCCATATGCCATAGCGGCGCGTATGAGCTCAACTTGAGGTTCCAGGGATTTGCTTAAGATCTGGCATTTCAGCGACTCGGCTCTGCATTGAACAGTTCGCAGCCCCGCACGTCATGGTGTCAGCAAGTACGTTTGATGTTGCACCCGATGAAACTCACCGGAGAGACGGTACCGTGCTTTGGACGTTAGCGGTCAATATGCACAGCTCCCGCCACTTTGATCGGTCGGGCGCGCAGGCAGAAATGCCCTGTGCTGTGTCCTCCGCATCCAGGTCGGGCCATGGCACAAGGCTAACCAAATGTTGTCCCAAGCGATTCGGACAGATGCGAAACGGGTTGCTCCTGCAGCAGCCTGCCTATGGCAACCTGTCAAACTTGGTTCCCGCAATACGCGGTGCAGCCATGTCGCATAGTGTGTGTCAGTAGCGTGCGTAATATATAACTGAGTCACTCACGGAGCCATCTTCAGCGTCCCCGGCTCTTTCATCGCACCTCTGACTCTGTCGTGATCACTGCAAACGATGCCTAAAGCAGTCAAAACCTCCCTGACACTTTGCGACGATGGGAAACGTGCTGCTGCACCTCCCGAGGCCAGATCTGGCAAGCCGCGGCGTCCAAGCGAGACGACGCTGTTACGGAAGGAGCTGCGGACCGTCATGAACGGAGACTTTGGTGAGTCTGTGCGTATTCACCGTATCAGCTGACTGTGCTCACCATGTGCGAAGGCGTGGCCGTCGGCGATCCCGATGCTGCGCCGTCGTACGTGATCGAGGACTACGCCGAGTTCACCGTCATCGGCCAAGGGTATAAAATTGAGGGATGGCCAAGCTCGATCCCGTTCAGGAACGCGAGCGAGATCCGAGGCGGGTGTGCGGTTCTGAAGGAGCTCCTGGCGCTCTGGAAGGCAAAGAAGATCAAGTTTGTCCCGGCAACGCAGCTCGACAAGCTCAACGCCGCGCTCGACCCGACGCTCGTTGCGCCCGCCCCGGGCTTCCTCCACCGCAAGCCGTACGGCGGGCGGAACGACGTTGGCCGTTCGCGGTACCGGCCAAAGACGAAGCCGGACGGCGGTCCCCTGCGGCGGCCCAAGGACGGGCCAAAGAGCGACAAGTTTGTCTACAACTCTGACGACGAGGGCGCGGGCTCGCAGACGCAGCCTCGGCCGCTTCGGTTGCAGCCGTTGCCGCTGGTGCCGCCGCTCGCGCTAGGAAACCTTGCGTCGTCTTGATATGGCGGCCGTTACGGGAGTCAGCGACGAGGACCCTGAGGAGATACGCGAGTTCTCGTCAGAGGATGGGGAGGCCGGGGACTCGGGGATCGGGGCGTGGAGCAGTGAGACGTGGGAAGGTCGAGCTGGTGTCGTTTTTGTCTCTTGTTCTGATTTTGCTACTATAGATGCTAGATAATTACATTTCGGTGTTTGCAGCAAAGCGCGGCCTGAGCCGGGTGGTGGAGGAGCAGAACGTTGAACGTTGAGTGAGCGCCGAACGTGGATTTGCACGCGCGTGTGTATGACACCGCATTCCGAATTTGGCATGCGAGCGCTTAGACGTATGATTGATACCGCCGCGCCGACTGATCTCTTTCGCCTCCTCCTCCTCCACTGTTACGGTCCGCCACCGCGTAAAATCTATGCGGACACTTGGCCCCCGTAGAGATGTAAGCATCTGATATATTTTGGGAGAGCGTGAGCGTGGGCGGCTGTTCATGCCAGTGCTTATCCTGATCTTGGGCCTAATTTACATACACAAGCTTCTGCATGTCTCCCGAGCGTATCCCAATCGATCCACGTGTTTTATATCAATGTTAGTATTCATATGGAGGTACAACGTGTAGCCAAACGGAATAATGAAACTTGATCTGGCCAGGCTTGTAGGGTAAGGATGCTTGGGACAGGCAGGAGGCCTGCATGACCCAGATATCCTTGTCCTGCTTGTCTGGCTCTGTCAGATGTGTAAAAAACAAGCGAGACGTGTGACGTACAAACAGAAGATGATGTCCCAATTACGGGATGTGAGAAACGAGTCAGATTGGATCAGAAAATGTTCAAGGTTCAAACAGTACGGGTAACCACAGGGAAGTCGGCGCAGCGCCGTTCCCGGAGATCAAAAAATATATTCGACTGCGTGCGGAACTGCCACGGATACACGGCTGGTCTTTCCGGGACTCCCGCCACCGCATCCACACCCGTGCTGACACTTGCCACCATCCCTCTCCCTGTCACACCAATGTCCACCCGCCTTTCCGCCCACGTTCCCACTCCTCGAGGCCATTCGCATGCAGCATTACGAGGTGAGTGTTCTGCATATGGCACAGAACGTTAACGCAGGCTCGATGAGCACGAGACTGCTGTCAGCTTACCAAGTTCGCGTACAGCCGTGCGACAGTGGTCCGCACGCGGCGCACGCAAGCGCACATTCCCCGTCGCCTTGAAGATCGTGCCATTCCCCGCCTCGGGAGGAACGGTATTGGCGCGTGCGTACGAGCCTATCAACAGTACATGTGAGTACAATCTGTGCTTTTCAGATTAAGTAGATACTTACTCGGACTTATCCTCGCGAATTTGGTGCTTCAGGCCCCGACGGCGTGTGGGGAAGCTCGCTTGCTACCGTCAAAGATGGTCGAAGGGCACGCACTCATTGTGACTGATTTCCAACAGGCTCGGCGCGCGCAGCAGAAGGCCAGTGGCCGTGGAGGAATGGGAGCTGAGGCCGGAGATGGCCATCGCAATCGGTGGAGGCTGTCTGTAAACGCAGAGGTGAGTTTCTCAGCCTGCTTCGAATATTCCTGTTGCCCAGCCGCCAGCCACTAGCCGTCCGCGTCAGCCAGCAACAGCGACGGGCCGGCAGCGGGGCTCGGGACGGCAGGCCGAGCTGTCTTATTACTGACAACGCGTCGCGCAAGCAGCTGTCACGGCCGGTCAATGGAGCTCAGCTATATTGAGGCTCACCGACGTAGCCTCGCGCGCGCACCTCCCATTCAAACCTGCCCGTCTTCACGGCATCCCCCCCATATCCACGAGGACTCCGCCGCGCCTCAGCTCGTCCGTACCGCTCGAGAGCGTCCGCCCAAGCGGTACTGACGCGGCGGTCTGAGTAGGGTGTTGGCAGCTGTCAGTATAGCCGCCCAAACGAGCCACTGTAAAGGTAATTGGCGCCTCACCGAAACTGACGAGCATGAGCGGCATGCGGCAATGCTTCGCGATCGTCTCTGTGGACGCCTGCAGATACCGTCTCGCGCATGCGAGGGCGTTGCGCCACCTCCACTCGCCCGCTCTCGTACTCATGCATGCCCGTGTCCACGTCCGCAAGCTCGCACGGCATGCCAATCGCCTCTCTTCCGTGTTCGCGCATCCTCGAAACCGTTTGCGCCGCTCTCAGGCGCGAGCGCCAGACGCGGATTACGGGCTATCGTTGGTTCACAAGCTCCTCGGGGTCTCCGGGGAGTGGATATCCGTGGGTGGCCGGCGGCCGCTTGCGTGACGCGAGCGGCGAGCGGCTACGATTGCTACGCGGCGCCGACGATGGCGGACTGGCTACTGACGACCTCGGAAGATCCACCAGACCACCTGGAAGTGTTCCCTCGCGCAAAGGATCTGGCTGCAAATGGCCGTGAGTAAACGCTTCGCGGGACGAATGAACACTGACCTGTCGGAGATGCAGGTGTCTGTGTAGCCGAAGGCCGCCATACGAGCTCGGGCAGACCCACCCGGGTATGGCAACATCGCCACCGTGATGGAGATCAACACCTCGCCGCGGCCGTTATCGAGAGCATCTGCGCGCGGGACCCAGCGCCGGGAGAGAAGCCGTCAGAGGGTCGCGCGGACACCAAAAGCGAGCAGCAGACAAGCCTGTATCCTGAGGCGCAGCAGTGAGAGCACTGGCAGAGTATACTGTACGCTAGAGACAGATAGAGCAGAGCCGCGGGGCATGGGCAGCGTGCGTCGAGGGGCGGACATCGTGGTCGAGGCGAGAGCGGCACAGTAAGCGCCCGTTTCGCTTCGCGCGCTGGACCCACAAACGGCGCCTCTTCCGTTTGCGTCCTTTCGACCTTTCCGCCTCGCACGCCGTCCTTCGTCGCCCCCACGCTGCTGCTTGCTCTTGTCCCTATAGTATCTGGAATGCATTTATTCTCTCCTGTGGGATGTGCAGCTCAGGCCCTTTGCTGACACTCCCTGCGATGCAGCTTTCCCCGCTGAGTTGTCCCCCATTCAATCGATATCCACTCGACTGATACTCACTGAGCTGATACTCACTCAGCTGCCAGAGTCCAGCATCATCAGCGGCCCTCTGATCCCCCCGTAGCCGCCGCACCGCGCGGACGTAATGCTGTTCTCGTCCGCGCAGGTCGAGTACATGCGCTACTGGCTGCACACCGTGAAGCTTACCGCCGAGCCGATCCCGCTCCCGACGTCCGAGTACCTCATCCAGGCGGGCGACCTGCTCACGTGCTCCCCAGACGTGTACAAGGACCCGGCGGCGCTGAAGAAGGCGATCAAAGTACGTGACCGCAGGCGGCGCCGGGGGCGGCGCGGCGGCCAGAAACATCGTAAGCGTAAGTCGTGTACTAACAGCAGCGAACAGGGCATCGACAAGAACAACAAGCGCCTGCGCGGGACGGGCAGCCTGCTCACCGCGCGGCGGTTCGCGTTCGAGCGCGTGCGCACGCTGTGGGCGGCGAAGATCGGCACATGGCTCGCGCTCGACTTCGAGGCGTGGGACATGGACCACACGGCGCTGACCGAGTTTGGGTGGAGCGCCGTGCGCTGGGTCGACGGCGAGCCGGTGAAGGAGGACGGGCACCTCGTCGTGAAGGAGCACCGGATGTACAGGCAGCATTACGTCCCAACAACCGCGAGGTACGTTTCGGC